CCCTCCTCTCCTCACTTGCCCCCAGAATGAGGGATAAACCCTTTGACCCTGCTGTGCCTCTCCTCTTCCTTGTCCTGGACTTGCACTCACTCTGCCAGAACCCACCCTGTGCTCCCTGCTGCCCCCATCCTGCCATCCACCCGGAGCCCCCACTGCTGGATTTGGGAGTCAGCAAGAACACGGTAGGGACGCTGCCGTGCCTCTGAGGGCCGTGCAGCAGGCCTGCTCAGTTATAGGGTGCTGCACCCTCCCCCAGGCCACGTCCATGAGGTCTAGCGTCAGGGAAAGGGTGCCTGGGACACTTGGAAGGAAGGGCTGACCATCTACTTCTGGGACATAGTTGATGACAACCCTGTGGGTTTTGACCGTCAGATTCTGCTGACTTGTGGTCACCACGGGTCAGGGCAGGCCTGGTATCTGCTACAGTACTAACGACAAGGTCAGGAATATGAAGGAGTGATGACTTTGAGGGACTTCTGGGTAAAGGGGTCAAGTGCCAAGTGCCCCAGGCTCCAGGATGCTTCCTGCTGTGAGGTGTGGAGTGTGGGGTGGAGGGTGGGGCAAGTGGGGGCCTAGGTGAGGCGGGAGGAGGACAAGAGCCCAGTCTGGGGCTGGTGCAGGTGGGGCAGCCTCCTGGGAACAGACAAGGCTCTGTGGAACAAGAGGGCAGTCAGTACAAGTCACCTGGAGGATTCTGGTTGTGACGGTGACAAGACAGCAAGGTGGTAGCTACCAGAACCTTCACAGCTGAGGTTCCCTGGTCTGGACTCAGTGTCCTTCCCATGTGGTCACCCCACCAGAACTAGGGCAGCTAGGTGTGTAAGCAGGAGGCATGGCCAGTCAGATCTGATCTGACGATACGCAACAACAACAACAGAAATCAAAAGACACCTTGCAGGGAAAATCTACTGTCAGAGAACTCTGCAAAGCGTTAAAGTCTAATCCAAACCGTGGGTCACTTGCTGTGCATCTGAGAGCTGGACAATGACTAAGGATGACAGAAGACAAGAGTCAATGCTTTTGAGTTGTGGTGCTGGAGGAGAGCATGGAACATCCTCTGGACGGCCAATTCTGTCTTGGAGGAAGTGCAATCAAGTGACCCTTGGAGGCCAGGCTGGTGAAACCGTGTCTTACAGACATGGACCATGTTGTTAGGAGGGGTTGGTCCTTAGAAATAGACATTGTACTGGTAGAGATAAGTATAAGGGAGGAAGATGCTTAACCAGATGGGCTGTGGGCAAAAATGGGCAAGTATTTCAGAGCTGATGAAAGATATACGAGATCGCTGTGATTCATAGGGTTGCTGTGAGTTGGCCTGATGGTACATAATAGCAACAATGCCTGATTAATTTCATCTTTTTGTGTTATAACTTTTTAGGGCTACAGATTTTCCTCTGAGCACAGCTTTAGCTGAATCCCTTGTGTTCTCCTGTTTTCAATTTTATATTCCAAATATTCTGCAATTTTGGTTTTAATTTCTTCCATCACTCGAGGGTTGTCCTGCCATTTGTCTCTTCTCACAACAAAGACATCAAGCTCCCAGGAGGGGAAGGGCTGTTCTGATCATCCTAAAACATGGCCAAAGCCTCTGAACATGTCCTCCGCCTGGCTTGTCCTTGGTGCATCAGGTCACCCCGGTACACGGAAGGAGGGGGAAGCAGGGACAAGCGGTCAGGACTCTGTGTTCCACTTTTGACTCGCATGGTGCTTATTCACTCATCAGCACCACCTTGAAGCAGGTGACAGCCGCCAGCCCCGAGGTGAGCAGGTGCTTGTCCATTCTGTCCCCTGGGTAGTTGATTATCAGATCTGGCTTTTACCCTCTTCCTTAATTTGGGGTTACTGGGAAGTCCCAGAGGGAGGCAAAAAATGGAGCCAATGAAACACAAAGATGCCATTGTGCGGCCGGTAGAACCTGGCAGCCACTGGGGTCAACACCAGGTGTGGATTCAACACCAGGACATGGAGAGAAAAGGAGAGGGCAGTGGTATTCCATGGATGAGGTGCTTCTGGCTGATCTCCTCGGCCCTGAGCTCTAAGCCAAGCTTGGCAACTCTCAGTGGGAAAAGAAAAGGCAAATTCTTGGAACCTTGCATCTTATTCTTGCTACTCTGCAAGGGACCGTGATAGAGGTCGAGACTAGTCCCCTGGAAAGTGGGAGGATATAATTCAGTTTCTCACTTATCACCCAACCATTCATCTACACAGACTTTAACAATTGGAATCCTTAAGACTGGCCTTGAGGCAACCCTCAGAGGGGTCAAGAGCCCTGGGCAACTGCTGTGCCTGGTCACAGAGCAGGGTGCTGGGTGCCTCCTGGGGCCGCAGTTGCCTGGGCTGACCGCCTCACAGACACAGCCTTTGCCAGTTTCCATGGGCAAAAGAGGAAGACCATCAATGCGATGGATTGACGTGGTGACAGCCACAATGGGCACAAGCATGACAGAGGCCATGGGGACGCGCAGGACAGGCCGAGGCTCACCTGTCGTCATGGGCAGATGAGTCCTAATCAATGATGATGGGGCCTTTGGAGACATGGCTGCAGACCAGACTTGAGGACATCCTGATTCACTGTGATCTGAGCTGGCAGGACTGTGCCGGGTGACCTGGCCCCCTTGGAGTTGTCTTGCATGGGAGCAGGGGGCATACGGGGTCCTTCTCTGCGAGGACCACTTGCACAGGTCTGACTAAGACTCGTCTCTAGTACACATAGGAACAGAAGACCTCACGCCCTGCAACTGGAGATGCGGGCTCCCCACAAGTGGATGGATTGGGCTTGTGGTTCAAAACCCCCAAGGAAAAAAAAACCCAAAACCCCCAAGAACCTCAATGAGCACCACAGCCCCTACTCCACCAGGGCTGCCTGTCTGAGCGGCCGTCCCGCCGGGGCTGCCTGTCTAAGTCTGGCCGTTACAGGCCTCGCCGGCAGTAGCTCCCTTTGCTCTTGGGAGTCCCCACCTGTGTGATTTGACAGAAAAAGTGATTTAGAAAACATTCTCCTCTTCCAGTCTCCTCTGTAAGCAGCTGGCCAAGCCCACATGGTTTTTGTCAGGCAAAGGTGAGCTGTGTCCTCTCAGGGTCTGCACTCCATATATGCTCCTCTGGGGGCCATCGGTCACATTTCCCGTTCTTCAGGGAAGACTTGAGCCTGGTAATGACACTAGTGACTTCCCAAGTGGTGTTCAGTGACAAGTGGCAGAGGTTGTGCTGAACATAGACTGTCCTCTGTCCTAGGTGGGGGTAGGGTTGGCCCTGACACTTCACAACAGGAAGATCTAAAGGTTAGTGTCCTCGGGGACACCAGTACCACCCAAACCAGACCACCACAGGGCTGGCTCTGCTCAGGTCCAGGTGTGCACTTGGGGTGTGGGGACCAATCAGGTGGCTCCATGAGAACAATGTTTATACTGTGGACACTGAACCAGGCCTGTGGCAGACCCAGGAGAGACCTCCTCACCTTGGTGCAGGACCAAGGGCCTCACCAGGAGGTGACATGACCCTAAAGGCCAGTTCAGCGTCAGTTCCACACCCCTCCCATTTGTGCCTCTACCAAGAACTGACCAGACTGGAGGACACAGGAAGCTTCCTGCTGTGACAGGTGCACTACCCAGAAGGCCCCATGCTGTCCTGGAAGACACAGTTCTTTCTGATCTGCCAAATAAAGCAAAGATTCAGAGAATCGCGTGGTGGCTGGGGCCCAGAATGTCTCGGTCTGGAGGTCCACCCTGTTCTCCTCCAATATAAGGCTCCAAGTCGAGTTCCTCTACCTTCACACTCTCTGGAGCTCTGAGCCACCACCACCACCACCACACCACCACCACCATGAAGGGTCTTCTGCTCACCCTGGGCCTTGCCCTCATCTGTGGCATCCAGGCAACTGTTATCCCCCAAATCCAGCAGGACTTGGATCCCGCCAAGGTATGGAAGGGTAGAGATGGATGTGGTGGGGTTGAAGAGGCCGGGAAAGCCCAGGGCCTAGGAATTCCAAAGGACGCCTGGTGTCAGTGGCCAGGTCTGTCCTCAGCAGCTGTCAGGAAGGGCTGCTGTCCCACTCTTTCTGTTCTCTTCCCAACCTCCCTGACAGTCCTATTTTATAACAGGGGTGTTGTGCAGCACTTGTCCTTTCTGTTGGGGTTTTGTGTGTGTGTGTACCGTCAAATCAGATTTGACTGGTACAGGAGGAGATGGTTCCTCCTTCTCCAGCAGAGCATCTGGTGGATTTGAACCTTTGGGATTGCAGTGTAGCTTCTTGCCACTAGGCCACCAGAGCTCCGCATTTGTCCTTTTTTGACTGAGATATTTCACTCAACATAACGTCTGCGTTTGGACCGATGAGGGAGGAACAGTCTGAAAGGCATGTGTATGACAACAGTCCAGAACAAGGGGTGCACTACAGCGTGGACTAGGGGAAACGCACAGCAGTGAATGAAAGAAAACCCGAGCTTTCGGCAAACTTTCCTTAAAACCACAATAAGGAAGAGAAAGGGCTGCTGCTGGTACGGGGTTAAACGCTCACCTGTGAACCAGAGGCTGCCAGGTGGAAGCCATGGGCTGATTTGGGGAGGACAAGGCACCCTGCTTCCATAACCTGCACGGTACCAGTCAGCTCTGCTCAGGCCGACGGGTCACTCTGGGTCAGCACAGACGGATGGGTTTGGTCATCAGTCAGGGCAAGAGCGGAGGGCCAGGCTGGGGACGGCAGTGTCTATGTTGGGATGCGGAGCTGGACAGTGGCAGAGATTTCGAGAAATTGGCTTCAGCGACTGTGGGGGCCACTAGGACAAACCCACAGATAGCAGCGTCTGGAGTCTCAGCGACAGCACTGGTCTCCACAGCGGGAGCCCCTTTTACCAGGGGCTCAGGGTGAACTGGAGCAGGCCTGCCATATATGCAGGCCCACCTACCTGAAGATGACAGTGACGCCTACAACAGGCCTTCACACAACACTGAGAAGGAGTGTTGGCTCAGACAACCGTGTCCTCACACACGGATCCACCAGCGGTAACTGACAGCAGGGCCCAGGCGTGCTGACACACAGGGCTGTCACCTCTTCCCACGGGGCTGGGGGCTTGCCCCACTCTGACCACTCGGCCCTCCGCATGGGCTTGCTTGTTTTGAGAGTAGATTCATCTATGAAGTTACCTCACACAGCCCCCGAGTTAGTGTTGTGCAATTGCTGTGAACATGCAAGTGCCCTCAGCCCAGGGGCTGGAAGAGGCCCGTTGACAGGAGTCGCGGAGGCAGCTCTGACCCACAGCAGTTCAGTGGACAAGAGGATGGCGCCCGGCCCAGTCCTGAGCTAACTTCACCTCTCCGCTGGGCTCAACCACGCTGCGGCCCCGTCCGTCGCTCTGTCTCGCTTCGGGCCTTCTTCTTTTCTCCTGATCTCTATATTGAGCATGCTGACTTCTCAAGACAGACGGACACAGGGACTGTAACCATGGGCTCAAGTACAACAGACGAGCAGGCTTTAGGTCTGTTCACAGGGTCGCTGGGAGCGTAGGCAGTGCGATGACCCCCACCAAGCACATCCCCTGGAACTCTAGTGGTGTGTCTGGAGCGAGGTGAATGCCTAGCCAGGGGGCCGTACGACCCAGGCGGTTCAAACCCACAGGGAGAGGTGGGCAGGCTCCCCCTGTCAAGCCTGGAATCACCTGGAGAGAGAGTCAGAACTGGCTTGAGGGCCGTGAGCTCACTAACGGGCCTGGGAGTGAGGAATGAGGCCTGGCCGTCCTCACGGCCAAGAGCAGGAGGCCTCAGCCTCGAACCGTGACCCATGGAACTTCCACTGCCTCTGGGAGACCTGGGCCGGGGGCTACTCTGTGTCATTGGACGGGGTGGGTGCTCACTGAGGAGGCAGGAAGGGTGTCCTCCAGCAGCCCCTGGTCCTCCTCAGGTGGAGGGCATCTGGTACACCATGGCAATGGCGGCCAACAAAGCGGCCCTCCTGGAGACGGAGAGCGCCTCTCTGAGACTGTACGTCCAGAAGCTCCAGCCCACTGCTGACGGCAACATGGAGATCATCCTGCACAAGAGGTGGGTGTGCCTGGGCAGCCGGGGCTAGGGCTGGCACGAGTCTGTGGGCACCGGTTCCAGACAAGCATCGACAGGAATGTCAGCTGGTGCAGAGTGCCCTGAGGAGTGGGCACAGATTGTCTGGGGTCAGGCCAGCAGGAGGCCAGACAGTGGGGTCCAGGCAGTGGGCTTTCCTCAGATGAATCCTTGCTGTTCTGCTGTTGAGGGGCCGCAGAACTTGGAGCGGGGAAGCATGGAAGTCCCGCATCAAAGCCCCACGAGGCCTGGGCCAGTTCACCTCAGTGCCCAGCTGGTTCCAGCTGACCCTACTGTCTGCAGCCTGGTGCACGTACTGTCTGGCCACCTCGGTGCCAGGGCCATTTGCGCCTCGGGCCTACCTACTCCAGTCCAGACTGCGGCTCATGAATGACCTCAATTCTTGTATTCCAGGGTTAATGACGCCTGCGTGGAGATGACCATCATTGCCCAGAAGACCGAGGACCCTGCTGTGTTCACTGTGGACTGTGAGTGCCCTGGGGTCACTGTCTCCTGGAGCCTCAGAGCAGGCGATGCCTGCTGGCCTGGCATCCGGCCTGACTCCCCACATGGGCGATGGTAATGGAGGGTGGGCAGGCCTGGATCCCCACTGCACTTTCTCCTCCCTCTGGAGGAGGAGAGTGGACAGCAGCAGTGTCCATGGGACCTGGGGGGCGGCCATGGACGATGGTCTCCGGCCGGTTCCTTTGCAGACCTGGGTCTGAAGGACATCATTGTGCTGGATACAAACTACAACAGCTACCTCTTCTTCTGTCTGAAGACTCCCACGGCCACTGAGGAGCAGAGTATGATGTGCCAGTATCTGGGTGCGTCCACGTGCTGGCTGGTCTGGCCGCTGTCACGGTCAGGTGTCTGGAAGCAGATATACTGAGGGACAGGCAGTTACTGACATGGGGACAGGCCCAAGAGGTAGAGGGGAGGGGCCTGGATTGTGACCGGGCGGAAGGTGGCATTCAGGGTGAGGCCAGCTCTGTGAGTGTGGGGTGCTGAGATGAGTGGACAGCCACTGGTCAGGGGCGTCCTTGTCCTAAGAAGAGCCCCGAGGGGGAGTGGCTTTCAAAGGCCAGTGGCTGGAGAATGGGTGAGCTGCGGAAACTGCTGCTGGCCTGGCCTGACCCCGGCCTGAGGAGGCAGCCTGGCCAGCTCTGACCGGCCTCCCCCACAGCCAGGACCTTGGAGATGGACACACAGGTCATGGGAAAGTTCCACCAGGTTCTCAACAAGCTCCCAGTGCACATGAGCATCTTCCTTGACCTGATCGGGAAGGAGGGTGAGTGTCAGCCTCGACCCAGCCCCTCAGGACAGGCCTGACCCCATCCGAGGGGACCTGGGCCTCAGCTTCCACCCACTGCTGACCAGTCCCCAGTCCCCAGTGTGCCCTGGAGGTGGTAGGAGGGATGCAGAGAGCCACTAGGGGTCCTGTGCTCCACTCCAAGACCACCAGGACCCACATCCCCTGATGCCAGCTCTGCTTTCCCCTGCAGAGAAGTGTCGTGCGTAGGTGTCACCGCTGTTCCAGCTCCTGGGTAAGGCTCCTGCCCCTCCCCTGCAGGCAGTGCACAGGGGCTGACCCTGCACGTGGAGGCCTGGACCCTGTGGCCCCAGAAAGCCAGGCTGGCTGGCTTCTAGCTCCTCGGGCCGGCCTTTGTTATGTAGCCATTTTCCATGTCCAGGCTCCCGTCAAGGCCTCTCTCGGCCCTCTGCAGGGGCTGGGGAGGTGGGGAGGCTGTTGAGGGGTGGCAGCCCCTCCAAGCTGAGGCTGTGACGGGCCAGAGTTCCGACTGCACAAGGACAGCCTCGCCCTTGTTGAGGCCTGTGTGGTCCACCGGTTCTCAGATTCAAGGGCACCACTCACCCCCCCCTCCAGGTTCGCGAGTGTTGTAGGAGCCCAGCCCTTCCTCATCCTCACCTTGTCGAGACCTTACAGCGGCTGAAGACCATGGACGGCCACTCGTCCTGCTCCGTGGACTTCGCCCCTGAGCCTGGTTCTCTCCCTCAATAAACACCCTGCATCCTCTCTCTGAGTCTGTCTTAACCGGTGAAGGGTGGGCTGGGTGGGGTACAGCAGGACACAGAGCCAGATGGCCACTTCTGTGGATGGGCCCATGATGTTTGCGGTCAGAAACATCCACAGAGCCACTCGTGTCCCCAGGGGGGACTGTCCTCCACAAGGTCCCTACTCCGTCACTCGGGAACAAACAGCCCAGTGGAGCTGGAGTGGCCAGGGCTGAGCCCCATGGCCTGGTGCTTGTGCCCCATCTGTGTGGGGTGCTGGGCTCCCATGCTGCTGCCCTGCTGCATGTGACCTACATTTCTAAGGCATCTTCCAGGCAACCCCGCCCTCTCTGGCCAGGACCTGCTCAGAGCCCACAGAGGAGTTTCTTGTTGGAAGGCCTCCCAGGGAGGGACAGGCAGTGTCCACTCTGAGCCTCAGCCGGGCTGCCTGGCCACAGACCAGCTTCAGAAGGAAACGGGGAAGAGGGTAGAGAACCAACCGAAATCTCACCTCTCTGAGTCCCGCACACTGCCCAGTCCACTCACTTATCCTCCATGCCCCCAGTATGGTGTCCTGTCCGCTTTCCTGCATCCTCTCCAAGGCCCTTAGGGACAGTGCTTCAGCACCCTTCACCCCATGAAAGGGAGGCAGCAGGGCATCCCCAGGACACACCCCCAGATCACAGCAGCTGAAGTGGAGGTGGGGTCCTGGCCCCCCAATCCACCTCATCTCAAGTGTCCTCCAAGGGTACACTCAGGCCTGGCTCCAGGAAGGAGAGCAGTGGACCATGAGTTCACAGCAGACGCTGATACATGGGCCCGGGGCAGGACAGCAGGCGGAGGAGCCCGAGTGCTGGACACTGAGCTTTGTGGGCTGTGCAGGGAGGTCCCAGCCAACGGCTGTCCTGGCCGTGATCTTTCCTGTCTGCTGGGAGGCCGGCAGCAGCTCCCCCCCCATGGGCACCCGCTAAGCAATGAAGTGACAGCACAGGAGAAGGCGCCCCAAGAACACTCAGGCCGCCTCTCACGATGTCCGCGCGTGGCCTGGTAACAACAGGCTCAACACTGTGGCCAGTGTCATAATCAGGCCCGTGTCCTCGCGGACCCAGACCTCCGCCTCCCCACAGGCCAGGCGGGTCACTTAACTAGTCACCTCAGCTTGCCCCCTCGCAGGAAAGACTAGTGTGTGGTGAAGAGATAGAGGCTGATAGAGCATGTTTCAGCTGAGGAAGGGCGGGACCCCACACTGAGCAGTTAGTGTGACATGGCCCCAGTCCCTGTCTCAGACCCCGGATGCTGACAGGCTGGCTTTTCCTGCACTCATAACTGACCTTCGAAAAATACAGGGACACAAAGGTGTGCTCACCTCGGTGATGGCCAGATGGCCAAACTGGCCCCCAATAACCAGCACCCGCTGTGCATCACCTCACTGACCATGTGCGTCCAGGATGCTCCAGGAGCAGAGGACCCAAGTCACATGACACATGTCATATTGTGGTGGGAGAAAGACAATCAGTGGAGACAGGGACAGACAGACAGATACACAGAGACAATAGAGCTAGGCCGCTAGGAACGGGCAAAGGTATGGAAATAGTCTACGGATAGATGATAGGTCTGTTGTTAGGGCTGTAAATTATGACTCATAGTGACCGACAAACAACAGACCTGAATCCTGCCCGATCCGGTGCCAGCCTCACCATCTCTGACACTCTCGAGCCCATTGCTGCAGTCATCACGCTAATCCATCTCTTTAGAGGTCCTCCTCTCCTTCGCTGACCCCCCACATTTTACAAGCATGAAATCTCTTTCCTAGCAACATGTCTTAGCGATGAGGAGTTGCACTGGCAACTCAATGGTACATGGTTGGAATCACCAGCTGCTCCGTGGGAGAAGGATGGGCAATGTCCTCTCTTGAGATTAATTGTTTATGAAAAACCCCTGGGGGGTCAGCTATGGGTTGGTCTGACCCAACGGTCCGTAACAACAGAAACATAATCAAAGTATGCATGTTTCCAAATTCATGACATTTGATAGATCTCTAGGAACACAGAGGTAGAAACACAGACAAGAGAGACTGGTAGAGGTGAGCTGTTGTTTCATGCTGCTAAGAACTGACTCACAGCAGTCCTGCTGATGTTGGACTTGAACCACCAGGAGACGTGGCCTTGGGATTTAGCAGCATAATCCTGTGGTAACCAAGCCACAGAGCTGCCTGGGTGGAAAAAGGATTGATTTCAAGAGATAGGCCAGAGAGCGGACAAGGCATGACAGAGAAGAGTGATGACGGACGGATTCTAGAAAGATGGCAAGATGCAGGTGGAAATAATAAACCTGTTAGGCAGATGAGAGATTGCAGATAAATGTTACAGAGAAAAAGAAAGCAATGGGAAAAGAATGTATAGGAACTCGGTACTGTCTGCACAGTTGTCCACAAATCTAACACAGTTGTGAGAAGAAAAATGAAATTAGGGAGCTTTGATGGCCTAGTGGTAAGGAACTGCACTGCCAACCCAAAGCCTCCTGTCTGATTCACACCATCTGACAACACGCTGGAGCATGAGCTATGGGTCGGTTTCCACTTGATGGTACTCAAACAACAATAATGTGGTTAAGGCATTTGGCCGCTAACCCTAAGATCAGAAGTTCAAATTCAGCAACGGCTTGCAGAAGAGTGATGTGGCAATGTGCTTCCAAAGATCACAGCTTCAGAAATGCTGCAGGGATTCTGCCCCGTCCTGCAGACTGGTATTAGGTCAAAACCTACTGGATGACAATGGGTTTGGTTTTATTCTGATAAATATAAAAAAATAAGGGAACAAAGCAGGGTGAGGGGAAATGTCACGTAGACAGTTCATGCAGTAGATATCTTCGTGACGTGGAGGGAACCATGGAAACATCTACTGAAAGAATATTCCAGAGGATACAGGCTAGCAATGGGTGTGTGTGGGTAGAGAATTCTAGTGCATTTGTGGAGGTGAGGGCCATGTGGAGGTGAGGGATGTGTGGAGGTGAGGGCCCTGTGGAAGTGAGGGATATGTGGAGGTGAGGGATGTGTGGAGGTGAGGGATGTGTGGAGGTGAGGGCCGTGTGGAGGTGAGGG